AGGTATGTATGCATGTATAAATATAAATTTATATACACACACACACACACACATATATATATATATATGTATATATATATGTGTGTGTGTGTATGTATATATACATACACACACACGCACCTACTACACACACGCACACACACACACACATACGTATATATATATATATATATATACAAATACACGCATATATATGTATCCACTCCGTTCAACTCAAGTAATAGTCCACCCATAAGCAAGACATCCAGGCTTCTCACTTGCATCCCACCCACACCAACCCAATACACAACCAGCATGCCCACTAGGGGATGAGATTGCGGCCACTCTTGAAGAGCGCATCATGTACTTTGACGGGGCTATGGGTACCATGATTCAGAACGCGAAAATGGAGGAGGAAGATTACCGAGGTGAGTGTTGCTGAGTGGTGTGTAGGGTACGCTAATATTATGTGTGACATGAAGACTACAGAGGGTGAGTGTTGCTGAGTGGTGTATAGGGCATGCTAATATTACATGCGTAACATGAAGACTACATAGGTGAGTGTTGCTGAGTGTGTATAGGGTATGCTAATATAATGTGTGAAATGAAGACTACAGAGGTGAGTGCTGCTAAGTGGTGTAGAAGATACGCTCGGATTAGACGTGTGCCATATACCGTCTGAGTGTAGAAGGCAGTGGTCGCTAAGGTGAGCTGTGTTGAGAAGGTTTGGTGTACCGTGCAACGCTGAGATTCATTGTGGTTGAGGCATACAGTATAGGATAGACAGTTACACTGAGACTATATCTATATGAGGGAACCTGTTTACTGTACGTACAGACTACCTTGTGCCGAGTTTAGCACTGTCTGTGCCAGTTGTGCGGTTAGAACGTGTGTTTAATTAGCGCTGGAGGGGCTTGGGATTTTGCAGTCTGTAGGTAGCAGGGTATTCAATCGACATCGTTCTTCCATTCGATAATAGTCCACATTTGTACCGATATGGCTGGTGTGTCGGTAGCGAAGTATTCAATCCTCACCGGACTTCAACTGGATAATAGTCTATTTGTGTGTGTACATGTGTCAGACTGGTGGGTATATACTGGTTCTGTCCATGAAGTGCTCATATGACTTTGAATCCTGCTTAATGCGGTGTCCATTGAACATCAGGCTTCCATCTCGATTGGCTATCTTAACAGAACATGACGTGCACGGTAACTTTACAATGGCAAAAATAAATGCCTATACATACATACACACACACACACACACACATATATATATATATTTATATATATTCGTTACTGCAAGTGGCAGTTCGTGTACAAAACATATGCATTTGGATACAAGTATTGAAATACATCCAGTACGAATAGGGTATGCAAGTACCATTTAGTGGCTCTACTAGTTTACCATATGTACGCTTTTCCTGAAATGGGCAGAGTGGTGATAGTATATATATATATATATATAGTCGTATAGTTGTATAGTTGTATCAATATATAGTCAATTGTGTAGAAAATCACGTAAACATAGTGTTCTCGGTAGATCATTCTATCTTCTCATCGCGTGTTATTTACTCTGTAATTGCAGGCACCGAATTCATGGAGCATAAGAAGAATCCCAAGGGAAACAATGATATACTGACCCTCACCCGACCCGAACTCATCAAAGACATTCACAGGGTGAGTTACTGATGATCTTATTGGTGGATATTTTTAGGTCTCAAAGTGTTTACTTATTGCAGCCACACGTAGTCTCGTTCGTATTACAGCCCGTCACTTTTGCAGAAGGCACTCGCTTCTAAACCTATTTCTAATTCTCAATCTGTCTTCCTTTCACTCAATACAGCAATATCTGGAAGCTGGATCCGATTTTATCGAGACCAACACTTTTAGTGGAACCACTATTGCCCAGGCCGATTACGAAATGGAACATCTCGTTGACCGCATCAATATCGAATCAGCCCGACTTGCCAAAGAGGCTGTAAAGGTACGTCTCTGTATCAAACACGTATAACGCATATGGTTTTGGGCGTTTCTAGAACTTTGTAAAGGGCTGTAGAAGTGAGTCTCGCTAGCGAATACGTGCAACGTATAATATAAACGTTTTAATAACCGCGATAACAGGCTATAGAGGTGAGTCTCATCTGTCGAATACGTGTAGCGTATTTAGTATTTGCGTTTTTATAACTCTGCTTGCAGGCTGTAGAGGCCTGTCTCATATGTGGCATAATATATACTGTAGGCCTTTTTAGTTCAATTTAATACTTGTAACGTAAGTAGCATGGGGTTTTTTTTCTAACTTAGTATCATGCTGTACAGGTAAGTCACTTACGTGCATCCTAAAGTAGCTCCGCTAATTTAGTACTATATCATGCGTTTAACGTTTATAGTGTGCTTTAGCTTTGTTAAATGGTTATAGAGAAATGTCACACATGTAGCGTTTACTCTTCAGGTTTTCTGCCCTATCAGCAGGTTGTTGAGGCCAATTGTACAATGCATCATTGACATTGTATAACGTTTATTTTGCATTTTATATACGTTTTAAGCGCAATCTCCATGCTGGACCGCTCTCATTATCTCTTCTAATACGTTGCTCTATATTTGAATCTGCTCTGCATCAAAAGCCAACTCGGTGCACTTGACAACGGGTGGTATTATATACGTACCTAACGTTTTCTGACCCGGATACAGACATGAACACTTTGAGGAAACGGGTGGGTGGTGCTATATAGCCACGTTTGCAACAGATGTTTTTATGCTTTATCTTTTTTTGTACCGACTTTGAATGTTCTTCACTCGAGCACACACAATGTAAATGTTTATTTAACACGTATCTAACTGTTTCTAACCCCGATATACACCAGGAGCACTACGCGAAAACGGGCATTAAGTGCTATGTGGCTGGTGCCATGGGTCCCACCAATCGAACGCTTTCACTCAGTCCGTCTGTGGAAAACCCTGCGTTCAGAAATGTCACCTGGGATGAGCTTGTGGCGGCTTACGATCAACAAGCACGTGGTCTGCTTGAAGGTGTGTGTAGGTGAGGCGACTGGGAGATTAGGGTTTATACATCGTTTGGGAGGTGTACTATGTAGTCTATGTTGGAGTGTGTCATATGTAGACTGGCGGGCAATGCGCTCGTGCAGATTCCATCGTTGTATCATGGGTTTCCGTATGCCAAGTGCCGTACGTTTTCACGCATTTCAAACACGGGTGGAGCGGACCTTCTGCCGGTCGAGGCCCTCTTCTTTTACGTAATCTCACCTTCTATACGTTTTCACCCATACATACCACACATAGGCGGGGCGGACATTCTGCTAGTCGAGACTATCTTCGACACGGCCAATGCCAAGGCGGCGTTGTTCGCCATAGACGCGATGTTTGACAGCGGTGTCACCAAATGTCCTGTCCTGGTCAGTGGTACCATTGTAGATAAGTCCGGGCGCACCCTATCTGGACAAACGGGCGAGGCCTTCCTTATTAGTGTGATGCACAATAAGCCCTTGGCCGTGGGACTGAATTGCGCGTTGGGTGCGGATGAGATGAGACCTTTCTTGGAAGCGATTAGTAACTATACGGATACGTATGTACTGTGCTACCCCAATGCGGGTCTACCCAATACCTTCGGCGGCTACGATGACACGCCAGAGAAGATGGCTAACGATGTAAGTAGCTGTAGAGATGTTGAGTGTGGTTAAATGTAGACAGGTATAGACGCACACACACATCACACACACACTCACACTCAAACTCGCACACTCTCACACTCACACACACACACACACACATATATATACTAAATCATCCTAATTATTTTTTCCTCATTCCAGGTATCTGACTTCGCCGAGAGTGGGTTCATTAACATCTTGGGTGGTTGCTGTGGATCTACGCCTGCACATATCAAAGCCATTCGCGAGAAGTGCTCTCAGTATGCTCCCCGTAAACGCCCCGCAAATCGGCACGAGGTACTTGTACGAATTAAAATCCTGATTTTTGGACCAGAAATTATATAGTCATCCTCATTCAGTGTCACAGATATACTTAGATATTGAGTGGGGGTGTATTTGGGGCAATTTATTATCCGGTTTCATACTCCCAAATAGATATAGACCCGACCTTCACTGTGGCTGTATCTTCAAGGAACACAAATCGTTTGCATTAGACTGCCCTATAGTTAAAGTGACTTTTGGAGTGGTTGCTATGGGAACCACAACCACTGTGAACGTATCGTTTGGGTGGGTGGTTACGGTTACTATACGACAATATATTAACCCGTCCTCTCACTTTACTTGCGCAGGGCTTTCTGATGCTGAGTGGTTTGGAACCGGTTGAGATCAGCGAAGGCGCCATGTTTGTGAACATCGGCGAGCGCTGCAATGTGGCGGGATCACGCAAGTTCTGTCGGTTGATTAAGGAGGATAAGTATGATGAAGCGTTGGCCGTCGCTAAGGAGCAGGTCGAGAAGGGTGCTCAGGTGGGTTGTGTGCATGTATACACGTGTGTTGAGGTGTATGTGTATAAGCAGGTGTATGCATGTTCGTCAAAGAGGATTGCATGAGTATGCGCGCAAGTCGTGTCGGTTGGTTAAGGAGATTAAGTATTATGTCCGTTACTAAGAAGTTGTTGGAGAAGGGTGCTCCGGTAGGTTGGGTATATATATATATATATGTGTGTGTGTGTTGCTGTATGAATGCACGCGTGCTACTGTGCAAACGAACATCGTGTATTCAATTATGGACGTGTATATCCGGTCATTCAGATTACTGGGTGGATAGTTAAGGATTTTCGATTGAATAATACTACTAGTCAAACACTGCTAGTCTTTGACCAGACGGAGCGGGGCGCCCAAGTGGGTGGTTAAACCCTAAAACTCTAAACTTCTAAACCCTAATTCAATGGGTGACTAAAAATATCGACTGATATGTTTAGTTTAAAATGCTGTATACGGATATCCTTGTGTATGTTCTTGCAGAGGGTGCTTTGGCCATCTGTCGACGTGTTTGTTGGTTGGGATGTGGACTGCCATAGGTTGCAGACGTACAGGTAGATACACATGCACTCGTGGTTACAGATTATCGTCCTCCCTAAGTTTTTATGTTTGTATCGGTATCTATGCCAGCTTAGTCATATCTACACTGATTGGGTCATATCATCAGATACTTGTTAACCTCGCCTCTTACACGTTTGCTTTGGTTTTTATGATTACTTACCTACTTATCTGTACCAAATCTACTCATACAGATACGAATTAGGATCTATCATCAGATACTTGTTAACCTCGTCACCCCGTCTCTCAGATCACTTACCTACCTACCACCTATCTGTACCACATCTACCCGTACGTTTTCAGATTATCGACATCAATATGGACGAAGGCATGCTGGACGGTGTGCGGGCCATGACCCGTTTCGTCAATCTCATCGCCTCCGAACCCGACATCGCCAAGATGCCGTTGTGCATCGATTCGTCTAATTTTGCCGTGGTTGAGGCCGGCATCAAGTGTGCCCAGGGCAAGTGTGTGGTGAATAGTATCAGTCTTAAGGAGGGAGAGGAAGAGTTCCTGAATAAGGGAAGGCTTCTCCGCAGGTGAGTGCGAGTGTGTGTTTGCGGAGGGTTATCTTGGATTGACTACGTCGATGCGCACTATTTACACTAGGACATCTTGTGCGTTCTGTCTACCATCTTAACGTGGAGGAGTCTTTCCTTGTTCATATAGTAGAGTGTGCGTGTTGTGGTGTGGCGTTTGGGTGCCAGTGCTAGGTGTGCTCAGGGCGAGTGTATGGTCTACCGTATCAGTCTTACAGGGGGAGAGGATTAGTACCTGACGGAAACCAAGCGACTGCGCAGGCGAGTGTGTGTCTGGTGATTCTATCTGTGTATGCTCATATTAATACGTTTTGATAGATGCAAACGTATTGGGTGATATCGGTAGTATATTGTATATGCCCACATAGGAGTATGTTGTTTGTGCCTGTGTGTGGGTGTAGCTTTGGGTATCACGGCGTGCACCGTGCAGGTGTGGTGTGCAGAGGTTTAGTCTTAGGGAAGGAGATATCTCAGATTTAGGGTTTACATACCCCAAACCCTAAACTCTTCGATGTTATTGTCGGTACACCTTAATTATCGGTATATAATAGTTAGTATGTATGTATGTATGTGTGTTTGTTGGGTGTCACAATCACCTCCCACCATAGTCGCCCGGGGGTGAGATCTCGCATGACTCATCACCATTCTAAAAATAGATACCCTCCGCTCTAAAATTAGCCTCTTCTCCGCTCCTGCCATACACAGATACGGATGTGCCGTGGTAGTGATGGCCTTCGACGAGCAGGGCCAGGCCGCCGATGCCGATCGCAAAGTGGAAATCTGCAAACGCTCGTACGATTTGCTGACCCAAAAAGCCGGAACTGATCCAAATGACATCATTTTCGACCCGAATATTCTGACCATTGCTACGGGCATGGAGGAGCACAACAACTACGGTGTGGACTTTCTCAATGCGTGCCGTGAGATCAAACGCATATGCCCCGGGGCTCGCATCAGTGGTGGGGTGTCCAATCTGTCCTTCTCGTTCAGGTGCGTACGTGCACGTGTAGCTGATACACATGCACATCTGTTACTAAAGACCTACGTACGTGCGTCTGTCTCACCGGATCTTGTCTAGTTTTGTCTGTCATGCGTTCGTATAGACTGATACACATGCACATCTGTTACTGAATACCTACGTACGTCCGTCCGTCTCACCGGATCTTGTCTAGTTTTGTCTGTCATGTGTTCGTATAGACTGATACACATGCACGTCTGTTACTGAATACCTACGTACGTCCGTCCGTCTCACCGAATCTTGTCTAGTTTTGTCTGTCATGTGTTCGTATAGACGGATACACATGCACATCTGTTACTGATAAAACTCACACTTCATTTGGAGGTCTTATACAGAGGAATGGGGTTGATCCAAAACATCCCTAAGCACACACTGACACTCCTCCCTTTCTATATTATATATAGAGAAATGGATCCCCAAACACACTCATACTTTATTTCAATGTTTTATACAGAGGAATGGGGGTGATCCAAGACATCCCTAAACACACACTCACACTTCCTATCCACACCATATGCAGTGGAGTGATCCAAGACATCTCTAAACACACACACACACTTCCTATCCACACCATATGTAGTGGAGTGATCCAAGACATCCCTAAACATACACTCACACTTCCTTTCCATACCATATACAGAGGAATGGAGGTGATCCGTGAGTCCATGCACTCCGTCTTCTTGTACCACGCTATTCAGGCGGGTATGGACATGGGTATCGTCAACGCCGGAGCCCTACCTGTGTACGATGACATCGACCCGAAGTTACTGAAGCTGTGCGAAGACCTGTTGTTCAACCGGTATGGTTCAAGAGCGGTTACGCTGCGTATGTGCACACGGGCGTGTTTGGTTCGCTAGTGTTTCTTTTCACAGCCAGTTGAAGTAGAAGTGATCTGTTTGGTTTGTGTACCTGTCTGCGTATGTGCACACTGGCGTGTTTGGTTCGCTAGTGTTTCGTTTCACAGCCAGTTGGAGTAGAAGTGATCTGTTTGGCTTGTGTACCTGTCGATATGTTATGGGGTAGCCCACCAGTATCAGGCACGTATTCGATTCATCTACGTCGCTGCTACCACTGTGTCACGTTCGAAAAGTAAAATTTAGGTTTTTATATATTTATATATCGAAAATACATACCCCTTTTGATAGCCTTCTATTGGAATCAATGGGAACTAACCCCCGAATTCCAAACACTATCGCATAAATCCCTACGTTATCTCATCGATATAATATAATTCACATTCGTATCCATAGCAACGACGAGGGAACTGAGGCCATGTTGGAGTACGCGTCCAGTCTCGGAACTGCGGCCAAGAAAGCCGTTGTGTCTGAAGAGTGGCGCAGCTGGAGTGTACAGGACCGTCTATCGCATTCGTTAGTCAAAGGTAGGGTTTTGGTGTATGTATATTCACGTTTGTGTGATATGTTCATGTAGGTATGTATATCACATGCATCTATACGCAGAAATTCGGTCGAAGGTAAGGTTTTGGTGTGTATATATATTTACGTATGTATGATATATTAATGTATGTATGTATTTACATACTTTTATGTGCAGAACCTCGGTCGAAGGTAGGGATTGGTGTGTATATATATTCATGTATGTATGTGTATCACACATACATGTGCCCATAAATTCGGTCAAAGGTAGGGTTTTGTGTATTGATATGTCCATGAATGAATGTATTTCATACGTATGTCATTATGTATTTGGCTAATGTACGTTTTTATCTATTATTACATTCATGCATCTTCCCACGTTTCCTCTTGCACACCCCCGTTTGCTATATGATCCTCCCACTAGTTATCGACAAGTATGTCTTGGCACACATACACTATTCCCTCTGTACATCGCAAGCATACGTCTTGACCCCCACCCACACCCACGTTTCCTCGTGTACCTTAAAACCATAAACCCAAAACCCTCCCTTGCTCCATCCTCCTACCACCAGGCATCGACAAGTACGTCGTCGAAGACGTCGAAGAAGCACGCCTGCAAACCAACCTGTATCCACGCCCCCTACACATCATCGAAGGTCCGCTCATGGCCGGTATGAGTGTCGTGGGCGACCTATTTGGCGCAGGCAAAATGTTCTTGCCGCAAGTCATCAAAAGCGCGCGAGTGATGAAACGCGGGGTGGCCCATCTGATCCCGTTTATGGAGAAGGAACGGGAGGCTAACCTAGCGCTCTTGGGCTTGGACTCGTCCGAACCCATGTGGAACGGTACGGTGATCATGGCCACCGTCAAGGGAGACGTGCATGACATCGGCAAGAACATTGTCGGGGTGGTGCTGGGCTGCAACAATTACAAGGTGGTAGATCTGGGGGTCATGTGCACGTGCGAGACTATCATCAAGGCGGCAATTGAGCACAAGGCCGATGCGGTGGGGTTGAGTGGACTGATCACGCCGTCGTTGGATGAGATGATTCACGTAGCGCGCGAGTTCGAGCGCAAGGGTTTGAAAATCCCGATTCTGATTGGAGGTGGGTGTATAATGAGTCTGCTTTATTTCTTTTTGGGGGGGGGGGGATTGGTGTAGGGGGTTGGGACGGTTGTGGGATGATACCAAATGCTCAGGACCAGACAGGTTTCAGTTCCCCACTCCCCCCCGTTGGAACCGAAGGTTNATCACCTTCGTCATCNTAGTGTTTCTTTCACAGCCAGTTGAAGTAGAAGTGATCTTGGTTTTGGTTTGTGTAC